TGCTTAGTTTACCTCTTCAAGGACATACATAAGTGTGTACAGCACATACTAGATGTTTGCATACACTGGTATCAGTCTTGCACAGAATTTCTGAACAGAGTTACTCTTCAGTTAAGAGAAAAAAAACAAAAGTAGTTTACAGATTTAAAAAAAAAAAAAAGCAGTCTAGCTTTGCCAAACTTGGAGTCTGCCTCCTGTTAGACAGACAGCTTTTATTCTGTCTCATTAGAACATCACAGCTTGAGTTGGTAACTGTAATTAGCCTTTCCAAAAATGTATAGATCTGGGGCAGCAAATCAGGCAAACTTCCCCAAAGTCAAGGATGCAAGCATCCAAGCACCATACCTTGTAGCAGCAGCTGCCTATAGATCAATTTTGACTGAAAAACCTCACGTTTTCCCTTTCATAGGGAACTGAAAAATAAGGGGATTTTATTCCGAATTAGATGAAATCAAATTTTAATGTGGCACATACTCCCATGAAATGAGATGACCTTTCTGTGTAATGCTCTGCATATTTGGAATTGACTGAAGATACAACAATGAAACAAAGTTATATTAATTTTTCAGACACAAGTAATTCTGGTATTTAAGGTTTTCCTTACCATTCACTATGCTCTACTGATGACTTTCCAAATGGCTTCAAATGGTCTGAGGAATGACTGCAAGTATATGATGTTTCTGGACTACACTCTCATTTTGTAGGAACCTGAGACCTTGTTACTATAGCTCCATTTCTCAGTTCAATTGTCCTTCTCCTTCTGTCTTTTAGAACCTTCATTTTTTCTGTGTGTGTATATATATATATATTTTCAATTTATCTCCTAGCTGTTGGTTTTAAGGAATGTTTATGCATAGTTCTTTGTGGGTTTACAAGTATGTAAATTACATGAATATATGGTATTCAGTTTAAGCCTCAAAACCACTTGACGTTTAGTTCTGCTTTTCTTGAAAGTTAAGACAGAAAAAAAAAGTATAAAAATAGCAGCCTATTTGCCATTTCTGAGTAAACATATCTAATATTGTGATTCACCAAGATTTTGACACTATAGTCTTAATTCAGATAAACAGATGCAAGTAAACCTGTGAATCACCTGTGTAATCCTACAAATATTATTCAAATAAGCAATCCCTAGATGAAAAAGGATAGTCTCTGAGAGAACTCTATTCCGATGAAAATGAGTGTGCAGTGAGAATGTAAGTGATTAGCACAGATGTTTAAAAATGTAAAAGGTTAAAAACGTATTACAGACCTTAAATGTAATGCAGGAATAAAAATTTCCAAAATGGTAGGTTAGTTTATTGCTGTATCGTTCTGTTTCCAATTCATGTTCATATTCATATATTCAGCCAGGATTTGATTGCACAATAAAAGGGGTGGGGACACTATAGGAGAAGCAGGATGCATCATAGCTAAATGAGGTAACAATTGTCTTTTCCTGCATCCATGCTAGTACCTTTTTATTCATCTCTAGTCTTATTTAATAGCATAGAAGTGAGGAAACACAGATGCAGTCTTGTTTTTTTTTTTTTTTTAAGAGAGTTTTAAAAACTTTTTACTTCAGAAAAATCACTATTAAATTCCTCTGTTTCACTGAGAGAAGGTAACTACGCAGTCGCTATTCACAGAGTGCAGCAATCACTGCTGCCATGGCTACAATCTCTAGTAAGGAGTTGTGTTGTACTTGTGAAATTATAAAACAGCTTTCAGATTTCAGCCATAATTGCTGCTTTTTAACTTTCCAACAGTGACATCACAACTATGTCGACAATAAATTAGTATTGTTGCTTACGTTTTCATCTTAAATAAGTCAACACCTAAACAGCCATGAAGTGCCCTAGCACAAAGACTCTGAAGAAGGTACCGAGTATTTTTTTACATGGCCAAAGATTGTAGATTAAGTCCTTCAAGTAAACTGGTACACATCTATTCAAATCAATGGATTATCTTAGATTGTAGAACCAGTTAACATCAGAATCTGCTCCTTATGGTTTTGGGTGTATGCCTCCTCCATCTCCCAAAGCCACAAACATCTCAGAATAAAATGGAAACAGCAGAACCCTCGACAAGAAAACCGACTCTGGTGCCCACTGTTAACCCTTTCATTGTTTATGGCTGCTCATATCCTCAGATTTTTAGTGTCACTTAAAAAACAGTAACTCTTTCAATCCAGTATATTAAATCGCCCCATAAAACTTTCTGGACTCAGTTTAATCTAATATGAGACACTTGCTGCTTTGTCAAAGGCTCTGTCATGTAACTGGGGACAGATTAGCCTTGTAAACTCTACACACCATAAGGCACCATTAAATTGCCTTTTAAAGACGATATGGCTGAAGCACTGAAAAGACACATCTTTCTTTTAAGTAGTGACTAGTGATTTTGGAAGATTTAATTCTACCCAGGGAGGTTCTTATATAATAAGTTAATGCTGGAATGTAAAGTGCAATAACTATAACATCAATAGCTTTAGATACATTAAGAGGGCGCCCTAATAACACATTCAAGTTTCTGGACAGGAGAGCAAGATAACTGATCTGGAAGAGTAAACAAAAGCAATTCTTTATACAGGCAGATTGCAATAGTCTAAAGAACTGGGTTTTGCTCTAACAGGAAAACTCAAAGCTACTTTTCCATTTTACTTGTGCTGTCTCTGAATGTTGCAGAGGAAACAGTCATCTTTTGTACTGGCACATAGGTAACAGAGACCAGCTCTGTACTCTACATTTGAGCCAAGCTTTACTCTTGGGCTTTGGCCACAAACCTACTACCAGACAGGTATTAGGTCCAAAATAAGGAAGCTGAGCAGGACTCTGCTGGAAAAAAGAAGCAACAAGAAGCAGGGGGCCACTACCTCTCACAGCTAACTTTAATGTGTTTTATCTCACCTGAGGCTAGTGTGCACCTGAATGAATGCTTCATCAGGGGTTACATTAGCCAACTGAATGCAGGAATGAACCTACCAAAAAGAGGCAACTACAGCTTCTCTATGTGAAACTCCAGCGTAATGTGTAAGAGCTGTTCTCAAACGACTGTCTGTAAACACAGAAGCGATGCAGCACGTACTGGCCTCAAGCTGTACTTGTTATCTTTCAGCTGAGAGCAGTCTCGCTCCCTGAAGATCCTTTCCCCTGGTCTCCTCTTCCCAGCTGAGACTATCCTTGCACCTCCTAAGCATCAAAAAGCACAAGAACAATCAGATAATCAGGCTTCATTCTTGTTCAGAGAGTACATTGGACTGGTTACCCACTAACCACAGAGCCTCAGAAAGATTAAAAACATGCACATCAAGGCATGTGGCTGTTTAAGAAGTACTCTCACTTTCCAGCTGAAAAGAAAGCCTGACTCCATCAGCACTACTCTGATGCTCTGTTCATGGGAGCCATATCTGGGGTTGAGTTTCAGCTGTCATCTCCTGGGCAGAGGGCAGAAAAGCACATCACACTTTGGTCTCATCTGGATTACAGCAAGTAAGAGTGCAGAGGTAGCTAAGAAAGGGCTTCCTAAACTGTTCTGTCAATGCATCCGAACACCCTGTCGTGTCTGATCCAGCAAGACCCTAATGGCTTGAAGACAATTAAATGAGCATGGCATCTTTTCTTTCCCTCTAGTTGATTCCCAGTAATAGTTCTGTTTACAAATGATTTATAAAGTAGTAACGCATGATCAACTGATAAGGTGCATCACAACATAGTATATTGCTAAAAGTGATGGTTAACGATGATTACGAATACATCAGAAAAAAAAAGATGACACAGGTAACCGTGGATTATATCAACCTACCAATTACATTTTAAAATAGCTTCTCCTTATTAGCAATTCTTCCCACTATATTTGCAAGTGGTCCCAAAATATGGTCAAACCTTCTGAGAACCTTGCTGTGCCACTGTCTAGACAGTTCTCCATCTCTGTGAAACCTCTTTGCAATCAGTCATGGTGTTAAATGTGCAGACAGCTACAGTATCAGCATTGTGGTTTGTCTTCCTCTCTCTCTCCCCCCGGTAAAGGTCATCTCTTCCTCTCTCCCCTTTATCCCTCCCTCAAGTTGTAATGGCTGTGCTTTATAAGGTATAGTACCAGCCCCATTACTGATAAATATTGCCTCTGTAAGGCTTCTTTAGTCTGCTTTCTATGCTTGTCCATTTACTGGTCTCGATCCACAGTAATGATTGAACCACTGAACAGTTGGCACGGAAGACTTATTTCACAGGAGGAAATATCTCAGACCTGCAGTACATTCCTGCAAGTCTAATGAAAATGGGATATTGAGTAGACAAGAGGCAGATCCTGCTAACGCACCACACTGAGAAGGCATTAATAAAATCTGGAGAGTTTAC